TATCGGAAAATTTCGATGCTGGCCGTTTGTAGATTGGTGGACGTTCCACACTCATCTCCCCCCAAGCCCGCGGCATCTTCGGATCCACCTTCAACCCCTCCCTCACCCCCCTCAACCCACACAAGCCCTCGATAAAACACCGATACACCCAAGACACAGTCCCCGTATTAAACAGCTGACTCGACCGCCCCGCCGTCCGATCCAACTTGGCCAGCCCGGCTCCCCCACGATAGTAATTCGGAATGAAGACGGGCAACTGCCCGCGCCGTACCAGATCCTCTTCGTCCGGCCCCGGTATCATCTTCCGCAGCGTGTCGTACGCGCGGTCGACCTCGCCAATGCCGTATAGAGCCCAGGCGTAAAAGGCAGCGGCGTGATTGTACACGGAGCCATTTTCGCCCTGGCCCGGATACTTTTGCGTGACGCGGCCGACGTCTTCGCGCATGGCTGTGTAGGGCGGAGCAAACATGACGACGCCATAGGGCGTGTCGAGTTGGCCGTCGACCTGCTCCAGCATCTTTTCAATCTTGTCGGCTGAGGCCGCACCGCCCAGGATGGACCAGGCTTGTGGGTTCAGCCAGATTCTGCCCTCGTTGTCCTGCTTGATGCCAAATGTGACGTTGTCGTCTGTGATGCCGCGGGCGTACCAGTCGCCGTCCCAGAGGTGCTCGTTTGCTGATTCATTGACCTGTTGGGCCCCGGCGCGGTACCGGGTTGCTGCCTCGCCTTGGCCGTATTGCGAGCAGATGTCTGCCCAGAGGTTGACGGCGTGTGCGGTTGCGACGGTGAGCCAGCCGGATACGCCGACGCCTTTGGGGCCGACCATGTTCATGGGGTCGCACCAGTCGCCTTGGGCAATGTAGGAGAGTCCGCGCTCGTCGCGTGCGTTGGATGAGAGGAGCCAGTCCATTGCGCGGCTGAAGCGCTCGAAGACGGTGAAGCTGTCGCCGTACATGCTGGTTACTTTTTCATCCAGGAGGGCGTAGTCCCCCGTCTCGCTGAGGTAGATTTCCAGGGCAATGGGAAGCCAGACGCAG